CTTCCTAGTAATTCACCAAGGAATGCGGTCAGGCACAACTTTTCTCTAAGGTCCATTTTCATCTTTGTTATCTGAGCTTTCATTGGTTTGATGATGATCATTTACCTTCTGCTTTTGAAACTTTTCTAAATTTTTTCTCTTAAATCTGAGAAACTTCAGGTAAGCTAGTTTTTTGAAGCGCTTATTTTTCCTTTCAGGGTCAAATAACTTAGTACTTTTAGCAGGTGACAGCAACAATATACTGTTATTCTTCTCTATATGTTTTCCTTTGCTTAGTTTTTTCACTGATTAGTTTCTGTATAGAAATTAGAAGGAAATCGGCTGCAGCTTAGGTTGACGCCCAGCTACATTCGTTTCGTTAGGGTCGCTGTCTTGCATTACTCACCTTTGTTTACCAAGATTTTTTTTTAACTCCGCAACTTATTTCCTCATAGGTGAATTTCTCTTTTTGAAATATGAAATATCTGATGATGAGTCGAGCCATTCAAAGGAGGAATCTAGTTTCCACCTGAGCAACGAGGTCGCGAAGATTTTCGACGTTTTTGTTTGAAAGCTTACTTGGGAGTGTACACGCATTTCAGAAATTGCTGACACCTGAGAGAATAATGGGACAAATGAGCGACATGGTCTTTTCATCCCCTCTGCGAAAAGCTTTCGTTGTTATCAAAACGTTATGTCCGGCTGACATAGTTCGTGAAAGCCCCGAAAGAAATCCATTCTGAAGATTCTAAAATTCCGAAAATCATTCTTCATTTATTAACATGCGTTTCTGTACAAGAGAGGAGACGACGAAAAGAAGATAACGAAACAATCAAGAAAAATGCTAGTGTCTTGTTTTCAGCAGAGAATTGTCTAAGTTCAAATTGTCGAAAGAAACGAAATCACGAATGAAAACACTAAAAGAGGAAAACGAATTTGTCGTAGTGTGATACTGAAAACACTGCTTAAAAATCCGTTGTTAGGCATAACTAGACGGATTTCTTTGGGAAACGAAAAAAAAAGCACAGGAAGAAAATAGTAGTAGAACAATAGACACCTAGTATACGCTTGACGAGTACTACAGTTACATATGTATCGATTTTCATTGATTGACGGCAGTTACGTCATTCAGTGCGTAATTTCTTCTCCGGTGGTGAATGTGACGTCGATGGACTCATCACCGATGTACGTAAGTCCATAATTGTCGTCAACTGAGATTGTTCAATAGTTCATGACACCGTCATCATTTCTGACACCATTACAGACCATGGAAACAACTAGAATCTACCACCTTTTTCTAAAAGAAGGCTTTTTTTGTCCTGTAAGATGACGCGTGAAACTCAGTGGTGTGGTTCACTTGAATGCACATGTGAGCATTGATTCGGTCTCACGCGCTGCGCAAACTAAGTCCCCATACTTTCCGTAGTCGGTAAACTGGTACCAGACTTATGTTGGAGGATAAAAAGCACTGATTTTGAATGTAATATGCATTTAGTAACCTCAACAATGGATAATTAAGTCAAAAGCTTAGGGTACTTATCAGTCCTTTATCCTTCATCCTCCAGATATTCGTTTAAGAAACTTAGTCTTTTTTTCGGAAATATTGTTATCCTCTGTGCTAGCTGGCAATGGTACCGAATTCTGCGGGATGGATTGTAAGGGGACAGCAAGTTATTATCGCTACACAATCACTATCAGCTGCAATCGTCATGGATAAAAGTCCATTGCCGAGTGAGTTTGCCTCATTCAAGTGGTGCTGCACTGGAGAAAGTCCGACTCGATACCACGGCGATGACACCAACCACATCGATAGTACGGACGATTGTGGACATCGACACGGATCATCGGTTCTGAGGAAGACGAAAACGTCGAGACATCAGCCAAACAAAGTTTATTTATGAACCTCGTGTTAGTTTATCAATGGAAGTATATTTACTGCTTAGTCGCAGTTCTCAAATCTAAGTACTCCAACTCAGAATTCTGGTAAGCGGTATATTTTGATTACTTCAATGCTAGGTTCTCTCTTTGCCTTTCTTTCGTTAGTGATATATCCTGACGGTGCTATCGACAACCACCCGTTAACAGGAATAATCCTGGGAGCACAAATCTGCTTTGAATCCGTAATGCTGTGCTCCGCAAATGATTCACGTTGATGGCTGATTGCTGATAGCACCGTTCAGGTTAAAAACCAGCTGAGGTAAAAGTAAAGTAGGGACATGCGTTGGTGGAATGGATGACACATGAGCTCTCGGAAAGGGTAATCACGGGTTCGATACGCACGTGAGGTTTCGAGTTTTCTTCATATCTTTGCATCCCTGTGGTTGTATTTCACATAATGCCCTGCCACGAAAAAATTCTCCCTTGGGAGGGCCAGATGATTGTTGGATACATTTGCATCGGTGGGCGTCTAGTTCACCATTTCATCGAGTGGGGATGCTATCATGGTGACAAATCACCGGCGATCCACCGGCGGCATCTTCTGATGATCTCGATGAGGTGATGTAACCTCATTAGCACTGAATGTCTTATCGCACTCGTTCGTCCATGCTTTAGCATAGCGGCATTCGTCACAATAAAGACAATAAATTGAAAACACCCACATACAGCGGCTCCCACTAAGCAAAAAAGAGGACATCCACGTAATCGCATTAGAATGCATGCTTAAACACCTGCTCATCTGGACACTATGAAATGTTACGTGAATAACGGAGTATTCTATGGAGAACTTACCGTCGCTGGCAGAGCTCCGGCTTGATTTCGTAGCGCGTCAAAGCATTCCTGGCAGCGTGGCTGCTCGAAAGAGCTTGACACAATACCGTAGTCCACCGTTCTCTACAAGGAACTACTGTGATATTTGGATTTCGACCCTATTTTCTATCTAATTTTAAAAGCAGTATTTTTTGTTTACAGGTTGTAGTAGGTAGTCATGAATTGAGTTATCATACTATAAAATGAAGATTTTCATAAAGTCCTACATGGCAAGCAAAGCACTTGACACCACCGAAGCAGTCGTTGTCTTCCTTCTTAACTTCCGGTGATCCACTTGAACCGCTTTCATCATTTGACTGAAACTAAAAGAATTTTTTCGTAAAATCTATTGGATGGGAATTAGTTATTGTTGTTGGTATGAGAAATGAATGTTCTACCAATGGCCTTTCAGGAAATAACGGTTAGTGAAATAGTCAGAATTAAGTCGTTGTTCGCTAATAATTGTGAGTAACAAAAATGTTTGCGAATTTTGATTAATTTTCCTGGTATATAACAAGCGAACCAATCGATGCATTAAGCAGAATACGAACCTTGAGTAGAACCTGACTGGGAACTCCAGGAACTCTCATAGGAAAAGGTCTAATGAAAAAAATTTAAAAAAATAAAAAATAAAAAAGTTTAAAAAATACAAAATAAAAATAAAAAAGTAAAAACAAAAAAATACAAAAAGATTTTAATGCTTAACAAATTTTATTAACTTTTTAGGTTTACCGTAATCGCTTTTCATTGGCGTCATTTGTACTATAAAATTTTCCCACACTGCTCCCTAACTTACGCGTTGAACAGCTCTCCCTATTGAAGTTTAAAACCTCATATAAAGGGTATTTTTTCAAGCTTTACATTTTTGTTGCTTTATTTTTCACTGTATGCCTTTATTTATCGCTATGGCTTTATTGTCGACTAAACACTTAATGCGCAATGGTTTGTTCTATTATGTCGGTTTCGATATTTGACGTTTATGTTGTAGGTTGCTTACGGTAACCCTAACGAGGACATTTGCATAACTTCAGCAACAAAACTACGTTCCCACTTGTTCATAACCACCCACAACAACTATTTTGTGCTCTAGCAATAATATTGACGTAATGTCAACCTATGAAGCTGACGGACGAGATGTTGTGGGTGAGTTTACGACAGTATGAATGGCACAATTCGCATAATTGAGGTCGTGGCATTGCCGGCGTTTATGATGATGTTTGCTAAGCATTTGTCACGTTTACTGCTTATACACCTGGCAGAAGTCTTACGTCTACTGGTCGGCACTAAACATCACCAGACCAGGAAAACAATTACTAAGGCACCGGAAAGATTGTTCAGAGCTGCTCTTGCCAATGAACCTTCTAGACCAAGAGATCTGATCCAGCCAACAATTAAGAGATAGATTTGAAAAAATATTTTTCATGTACTAAGGTAAGTTAGGTCAAAAAGGCGAGAAAGTGATTGTACTTGAAAGTCTTTGTAAGCGTTTTTTTTAAAAATTTTATTCGGAACAATGTCAACCATAAGCTCTTCATCAATAATTCCACTGACATAACCGTTAGGTAATAAAGGCCGAAAGTATTGGGCAAGGGCACTTCAGAAAACGTTTTAAAGGTAAGGTAAGTGATGGACATACCTGTCGGCTAAAAGGTGTGAAGGTGTCACGTATTAACGACGTTGTACCTCGCTTCACTGAAAGTACTGAATAATTAGCTTACAGATAGCTATTTTTAAGAAAACATGTCATTACAGCTATTTTGCCGAGTATTTCTAATTGCAGCCAGCAAAATGCTATAGCAATGTCAAAATGGTTCTGTAAACACTTCGGAAGTGACTTATTTCTTGTTGTACTTCCAAAAAATTCCATCACGCTCAGTCTTATTACTTTGTTTGTTTTGCCAAATTTGTTAAAAGACATCTTCTAGCCCAGACCAAGCGCTTAAGATGGCGCTGGTGTTTCGTGAAGGCTTCCAAAAACGTCCAGTCAGTCGAGAACATTCGCATTTCCACCGCACAATCCTTTTAATATGCTTTATACACGCATGTATATCTACTATTCTTCATATTCATGTTGAGCACACACGAATTGTTGTTTTATTCTTTGTTCCGGTAAGGCTGGCGTTTCGGCGTATTTCGCCTTCTTGGGGAAGTCTTCAGCCTGGAAAGGTCCACTTGATCGCAATCTACCCAGCCCGACACCTCCATAATCAAACAGAGAAGGTGCTAAACCAAGATTTCATTCACATTGAACACAGAATAGGTTCTTTCCACACTCATCTCTTTTTATATGCTATATTATCCACAATAAGTGCAATATTAAAGAACAACTCACAAGCCAGTCGCTTTTGCTGATTATTTCTTATTCTCAATAGTTCGAGTTCACGCTTTCTTCGTGATTGTTCAGCGTTACTTGACGGTTCCATCAGTCTTGACTCTTTGACACTACAAAACAAAAAAAGAAACTTCGAACTCAAAATTGCAGGAAACCATAAAACGACATAAAATAGAACAAAAGGGCTAATCGATACTCGAAATCAAATCAATGAATCGATGTCGATGCTCTGCCTCTGTCGGAAACATACAGAATTTAAATTACGCTTTAGGCTTTAGGGTGTATTAATTTTAAACATTTTCAAATCCAAGACCGACTTTCTGTTAACCTCGGCATTCAATAAGCTGACACGAGGTTGTTAATATAGAATTTATTACAATACAATAGCTGACGTTTCGGCGATTTCGCCTTCTTCAGAGCCTGGAAAGGTCAAATTGAAATGTGATCTACTCAGCCAAACACTTTCATAACTCTGACAGATAAAACTTGCAGGCTTCGAAGAAGGCGAAACCGCTGAAACGTCAGCTATTCTACTGTAATAAATTCTATAATAACAACCTCGTGTCAGCTTATTGAAGAAAAACAATGCATTTTCAAACCTCCGAAAATATGTTAAAAAATCGTGTGTAAATGTATGTGGTTAAGGCGATAGTGCAGCGCTTCTTTCATGAATCTATGTACTGCCCAACCCCAACCCCAACCCCACCCCAACCCAACCCATCATTCAAGGAATCATCACCATTAGTGGAAAAGTCGCCTTATGAGTACATATGTTAAGAACTAGTTGGCCATTTAATGCCTAAACAAACTACAGAAGAATTTTTCAAAAAATACGTATATGATTTGAAAAGTGGACACTTTCAATATAAGGGAATTTCACCCCAACAAGTTAATGAACAACCTCTGAATGACTCCGAGAAGTTTCTTTTTCTCATGTTCGATATGGTGCGACCATTCTGATTCGATAAGTTTCTCTCCGCATAGTGGGCATATCGGGCAACCATCGTCATCGAGTTGAAGTTCTGTAACAGTCAATTAATTTAGAAAGTAACAAAACCTAGGCTCAACCACAAGAATGTTGAGATATTAGCCAATTTCAGAATCTCGGGTGGCCCTCTAACCCGCGATTACCCTTACTGGTTGCTTAGCTACCGAGGCCCTTGCTTTACCTTTCTCTGAGCCAGTTTTTTAACTCCTTCAGAGTTATAAGCAATTACCTGTCGGAGGAGGTGCAAATCAGATTGCTCAGCTCCGGAAATGGTAATTGCATCTTCGAAACACAGCTAAGGTTCCGAGTTTTGCTCATATCTCTATTTCGCTCATGGTATTCAGGTGGCTGGAATTCGCATCACACGCTGCCATAGAAAAAAGAATAGGTATCAAAAATAGAAGTTAGCGCTGTGTTTGGAGTAGGTTTACGTAACTGCAAGTTTCCGATACTCTGGATCTGTTTTCCCTCACCTATTTTTTAGTTCAAGCGGCGCATAATATCCGGTGTTTTGTAGAAGAACTTTCCTCATAGTTGTATCAGATAAAGCTATTTGCTGTTTCATTTTAGGTTTATAACTTCTCTGAATATTTGTTAGCTGCTATTTATTTTCCAGTTATCGCTGCTTTCTAGCTGGCCTTTATTTCCTCAGTTTCGTGAGTTTATAACAGTATGTGAACTATTATATAGGTCGTCCAATGCAGCATTTAAAAGAGAAAAGGAATAATAAGCACCCGGTTTTTGATGATTCTCGTTCTCGTGCGTTGGGGAAACAAAGCTCTCTGTCCCTCCGAGTTAAGCGAGCTGGTATCAGACTTATCCAGGCTGGTGAAAACAGTGACTTGATACACCGATAACCATCACAAGTTATCATTGTTTAAGCCAAATATGCTTGTGAAGAGATGGAGTCGAATGCATGCTTCAACCTTAGAAACGTCATGATCGTCGAACACTTTATCCTTTGTAGTTTCATGGTGTGTTATGAATTCCGCAAATCTGATTAGTAACTTTCCGAAGCATGCATGGCGTTTAGTTCAGTGTGCTCCGAATGGAGTGCTGATCACTGACCAAGCACTGGCGGCAACATTTATCTTATCCTTCCACTTATAAAGAAAGAATTTAGAGAATCTGCGATAACTTGCGTTTAAATGAGAACTGGTGAGAAATTAGCAAAATCGAAGAGTTTAACAGCAGTGATGACGTAGTCAAATAAAGTAGACAAACGTTGAAGTAAAAAATTTTTGATTTTTCTCAGTTTTGCGGGGCAAAGCTTTCATCACTCATAACAGCCATAAAAGGTGGTAAATTATCATCACCTAGAAACTTAGCCAAGGATAGACTAGCCAAGAATACTAAATCTCAAATCGTAAACGAGGGATAAGTGGTTGTAAAAAACTAAAAAAGCCTAAGCACTGTTGCAAGCACGGCTATGTTGATATTCCATGGAAATATACTCTACCTAAGGAGAAAATAACAAAGTACACATAGGTCGCGCTACGACCTGTGCAATTCTTCATGAAGTCAAGTCATTTAGCCATTTATACGTTTAAATGTAGGCAGTTTGTCGAAATCGTTATTCATGGCCTAACCATCACTACCCCTTAGGCTCTCTTCAGCGGTAAGGCTAGGTAAGGGTAAGGTTTTAGTTAGGATTGTTACCTTGTCTCGCTGGCAGTACTCTTTATTTGCTCATATCTCTCGTCACTCTTCAATAGAGATTTACAGGCGGCCTCGCCTCATGACCCATTATGCAAATTTTTTACGATCGTCCAAATAACAAATGATCTTCACGTCGTCGTGCCGCTCTAGTGTATCATTCGCATCTTTCATGAGCACCGCTCATCCAGTCTTAGCTATTCAAATCATGTGCATAATTGCCCAACACACATACACACGTATATACACAAATATATGTATATACGTATGCACACATACGCAAATACACATGCTCTTCTATACATATATACGACTCTCAAACAAGCAACGCACTGATTCAAATACACAAGGTCTATCTGTACCGTACTTTTCGAAAGCGTACTAGCAGTCGAGCTTGCTTCGTTTTACTCAGCGATCCACGAAATAGTATGGGATCAAAATATGAGGGACATGTTGCCAAGTGAACTAAGAGCTGAGAACTAACCACAAATTGCTAACAGTCGGCAAGATTACGGTAATAAAGAATCTTTTCCGACAGTTTTGGTTGTTCGAAAATTGTGGCGAGGTGATTGAGGAGTTTACGTGAAACCTGATTTATCTTCACAACAGGCCTTGACGGAGAGACTTGAACTCGATTAGTAGAGAATCTATCGATTTTAACCGGAAACAGCTATGAATTGAAGAATGAAGGACATTTCCGGAAATCCAACCTACCAAAAAAAAATTTCTAAAAACTGGTCTAATTTTGCTACCTCATGAAGCTAATACTCTACTGTAATACCGATCCAGAGTTTTTGATAGGCTACAGAGCGGTGAATATTTGTAATAAGATGTGGCCGAAGATTGCAGTTGTTTTGGGCTCTATGAGGCGATTTCTACTTGAGGTCAATACTTTACTGTTGCCGTAATCGTTCAACCTTTACACATCAAATGGATGAAGTCCGTGTAGAAAGTTTCGTTTTTCTTTGCTGAATTAGAGTACAATCTCATAAGAAGCAGCCCCTTCAAAAGAAAAGGACAAGTCAAAATTTGCTTGGGAATTATTTGAGAGGCATTATAGCAATGATTATATTATTTAATACACTTAAGCAAAAAGTTTAGTAACTATAAACAAATTATCTCGTTGAGGACAAATAGTATTATCGCCCTATCGTGACTGAAACGTGTTCCTGGGTGTCGAAGTTCCAGCTACATCGACGGATCATCCCACCAGCAGGGTCATCGAGGAGGTTAACTATTCAATCTAGCAAATCTAAGCCACGTGAGCTAACTGAGCCTTCCTTATTACCAAACCCAGTGAAAACTACAGAAAACTTTTGATTTTAAATGATCAGAATTTAATACAACTATTATTTCGAATATCGCCGTATAACACCGCTTTTTTCCGAATAGGTAGTTTCGTTTATTATGTGGAGTGTAGCGAGCTAATAAATTAGCAATACCGTCTCCACCACGTTTTGATTTTCTATCGAACGCTATTTATTGATTATTGACGCTAGCTATTTTCTACTGATAAAGAGGTTTACTTAACTTTACATTGGCAGTTCTACCAGTTGGTCCAATCGTTCGTGTTGACTGGATTTAGCCTACCAGGTCTTACAGTCCCCGAGAATGTTTTGTTGTTAGTGTTTAGCGCTAATGTGTGACATCAAGGCAATAAATGGACACAGCGGTGCCAAGGTGGCCTGCGATGATGGCTTTGATGAAAGCCGACAGTCATTTATCTAATTTGCAATAGTCAATGACAGACGAGACATTTTTCACCGTCATTAAGCTTATATTACCTAACCTTTTGTTGAAAGGCTACGCAAAACTTTGTTTATCCCTGTTTGTCTAACTTCTTATGAAAAACTATTTAAGTTTTTAAATGTGTTAAACTACCAGAAAAGTGGTGCATTCTAAAAAATTTCGACCTAACAGGTGCTGCCTTCAAGCATCAAGAGTTTTGAAGTCAAATGAAAAACACCAGTTGGTGACGGGATTGATAAGCTTGAACATCGTTGCTTATAAGTGTTGTAATCATTAATAAAAATTATGGTGAATTACAAAACTAAAGATAGAAATTGTGTAAGAATTTCAAAAAATTATATAAGTGTTTAATTTTGTTAAAAGTAACCTTGTTATCTTCAGTTATTTGGTTAGAGCAGTGCTTAACAAACACACTTTTATCCCAAATGCTCACCTTCCTCTGATTTTGCTTAAGCAAAAAAAGCTCATTGAATCTCAGCGATTGTCTCAGAATCTCAACGAAGATGCGAACTGTATATTTATATATTTTATATATTTTGTATATAATAAAATATTTCGAAAATTCCTTTTCGATAATTTGCTCGATTTGTAGTAAACTGGCCTATTCTAAAGGTTCTTTCTGAAAATGATACAGATCTTTCCAGTCATCAAAAAATTTTTTCACAAACTTCTTGCAATTTAAATTATCTAAGAAAGCATTTAAAGGCATTTTGGATACTCTTAAAGACATTTTGTTACTACTTCTCTCACCTTCCAACGGTTTACAGCCTCATAGCGGCTGGGATGTGTTTCTGGGTGGCGGGCTGCGGTGCACAGTGGGAGCACTCAACACCGCCAGCAGGGCCTCACAAGCTGAGAAATAGTCCGGCGTTTTTGCCAGAAAGCCCAACTAGGGGTAAACAAATACCAGAATCCACCACCTCTTCCTGGTATCAAACAAGTCGCACGGTGGCAAGTCACCCTCTGATCCACAGGGGCTGCAACTTCCTGTGGTGGTGACGACCTGGAACAAACTTTGGCCTGTTGGGACTCCAGGAAACCACAGCAGCTAAACCAGCAAAATTCCGAAAAAAAGAAAATTATGCTGGAGTTAAGAAAACCAGAGAACCAATGGTGGTGGGTCAACCTGGTATGCAAGTACTTATGTAAATTTGCTTAGTTGCATCAACTCTAGGTGCATTACAAGGCAACAAGTGACAGAAATACACTGCACGTTCTTGCCCTCGTCGAGCTCGGTGAGCTTGAATCGTCCGATTGCATTAGCCATGGTGGCTGTGGATAATGACACTTGTGAAAGGAAAATGAAAGGCTGTTTCGTTGCCGCTATAAACCGACACGTATCAAGTGACATTAAAGTCGTAATTCTAGCGTACTCCGCCCGTCGGGAAATCATCATGGCGATACGACTTACACATGACTGCCTGCTACAGGAGTAGAAACACACAGAGACTACGGTAAAGATATAATTATTGGAAAGACGTTAGTTCTGTAATGCTGAGACATTTGCAAAACTTCGGAATGCAGGTGTCCGCGGTGGGGAACGAACGAGTTACTGTTCTTTCCGGGGAGTAACACGTTCACCACCACACCATGCGGGTCCTTCGTTTCGCTTGTCTGTCAGCTAGTTCTATCGATCTTTTGC